AATACTCAGCTGCTGAAACAACGTCTACAACCGAAAGTCGATCGCAAAACGAGAAACATAAACGCACAAGAAGAATTATCTGGTTCAACCCGCCGTATAGTAAAAACGTACGAACCAATGTCGCCCGAGATTTCTTGAAATTAATCGACAAACATTTTCCCAAAACATCACCCCTTCATAAGATCTTCAACCGAAACACGATCAAAGTTAGCTATAGCTGTATGAATAATGTAAAGTGCGTCATATCGAGACATAACAACATTGAAAAACTTTGTAACTGCAGAAATGTAAACGAATGCCCGCTTAACAACATGTGCTTGACGAAAGATTTAGTTTATCAAGCCGAGGTAAAAACGAAAAACAACAACGATATAAAATCCTACATTGGTATGACAGCGACAACATTTAAGGAGAGATACAGAAATCACAAGAAATCATTCAATGATATTAAATACGAGAATGAAACTGAACTTTCTAAACATGTTTGGAAACTAAAACTAAATAGAAAACAATTTAATATCAAGTGGTCCAGCTTAGCAAGTTCAATCAAAGCCGGTGGAAATAGTTGCAATTTATGTTTAGAAGAGAAATTGCAAATACTCCGTAGTTATAATTCTCGGTCTAATTTAAATAAACGTAGCGAAATTTTCATGAAATGCGTGCATGCGCGCAGATTCCACGCGGGACGATTCAAACGAACACGCGTCAGCAAACATTGCGAGTAGTAAAACGCAACAACTTAACCGTATTAATATGTTGCCTGATGATTGCTTGTTGCATGAAACTTAAAGTAGCAACTTATTCAATTGAAAAATTGTATTAAAATATTAAATTATTGTTATATGCTCTACAATTGTCTTGTATTGAGCACTCTTTATTCTTAAAAACGGGAAATTACTTTATGAAATTATATATATATATATATATATATATATATATATATATATATATATATATATATATATATATATATATATATATATATATATATATATATGTATATGTAGCTTAAGATTTTGGTTTACGAAACACAAACAGTGCTCAATACCATATAGATAGAGCGTAATATAGTTTTTCGTTTTACCTCAAAAACCCACAACAATATATATATATATATATATATATATATATATATATATATATATATATATATATATATATATATATATATATATATATATATATATATATTTAAAAAACTCATTAATAATTCAGGAGCAAAACACAAAGAAAAATCATAAGCGTGTCGTGGTTTTATATGTGATAAAAAATCACGTTAATTTACATAAACTTTAGCTTTGATTTTCTCGGTTTAGACAAAGTTTATTTTAAAAATTACTTCGCCAATGAACTCGTATAAGATGAGTCGGTTTTTAAGCCATTTAAAGCACTTGTAGTCGTGTTTTATCACATATAAAACACTCCGCTACGCGTCGTGTTTTATATGTGATAAAACACTCCTACGCGTGCTTTAAATAGTACATATATATATATATTATATATATATATATATATATATATATATATATATATATATATATATTATATATATATATATATATATATATATATATATATATATATATATATATATATATATATATATATATATATATATATATATATATATATATATATATATATATATATATATATATATATATATATATATATATATATATATTAAGATGAAAATGTGCTAGAGTGTGTATTATATAATTTCCATTCCCAGCGCAAGCAGAAAGATGTTGTCTGCCGCGGCTGGGTCTTGAACCCACGACCTTCACTAAGGTCGCGGTTTCAAGACCCAGCCGCGGCAGACAACATCTTTCTGCTTGCGCTGGGTATGGAAATTATATAATACACACTCTAGAACATTTTCATCTTAACATATTACAGAGTGTGCAATTACACAACTAACATAACACTTGCAGAACTAGTATTGTTCGATGCTGAATAAATATAAACGAGTATGTTTACGACATTCAGTATATATTTCATGATTTCCAGTCTTAAATCCGTATATATATATATATATATATATATATATATATATATATATATATATATATATATATATATATATATATATATATATATATATATATATATATATATATATAAACACTATTTAATTAAGACCTATAACCAGGAACGATTGCGAAAAATGTAACAATAAATCCTCGACCAGGAATTGAACCTACAGTCCTGTACTTCCGGGGCAGAGGTCTAACCAACTGAGGTCCGTAATCGCAGGGCCATAGGTTCAATTACTGCCAGAGGACTTAGTTTTCACTTGGATTATTCACCAAACCCAGTATACATATTGCACCCTGCATTACCTTGTACCAATATGAACAGTCTTTGTAATTCATGGTGATTATGACAATAAACTATGGAAATCATCTTATATATAAAGGATAAATATTATTATTTATTTAAAAAAATTCTGGTTTCTGATTGGGTAACAGCCATCTGTGAAATTGTCATATCAACTCAGTGGCTAACCAAAGATGGATTTTTCACATTCATATTGGCAAAATGACGTCAAAGAGTCAATATGAAAAAAATTTGGATGTGTTTGCGCCATATTACTATGATGACGAGAATCATATCAACTCACTGACGCCATTGATATGATGACAATGACGGCTGCCGAAGAACTAAATAGGAATTTTTTATTCTTAATACAAATAAAATACAAATGGGTTCCATTTGTTTTGATTTAATTAAATAAATAATAAAACAATTATTGAATTTGGTTTTTGCACAATATGAAGAATTATCAAGCCCTCAGTTTGCCGTAACGGTTATCAACCTCAGCCTTTTGGTTGATAACAGCAAACTTTGGGGTTGATAATTCTTCATGTCATGCTCAACCTCATTCAATAATTGTTAAATATTAATTAAAAACTGTTTTTACATCAAGAGTTAATAGTCCCTTATAACTGACTGAGGAGTGTCTCAGTTTAGGAAGCAAGTCCATTGTTCTAGTTTTTTTATAGGGTATAATTTACTAATTATGATTATATTTTCAAATAAATAATGTTTTCCTTTTACAGATTCCATTATGATGGATATCTGGTGGCATTTGCATGCTGTACTCGGAGCAGTATTAAATGTACATGAAGAAATCAATGGACTTGAACAAATGGTTTGTTAGATCATAATATTGATTGTGAAGTGGAAAGTGTTATAATACGGCATTGTGAGAAACTCTATTCGCCACAACACATTGCTGTGCAATCAGAACTAAACATAGTCATCTATAAGAATGACAGAAAATAAAACTTATGTAGTGCATACAGAATTTTCTATTTTTTAAATACATAATATAGGTAATATAATATAGTACAATTTTACGTCTAAAAATTTTCTAAAAGTAGGAAAATATAAGAAACATTTCTTAAACTGAGAACAATGAAAAATGTCATAAGTTAAAAAGATAAATAGCCTAAATTAGTATGTTATATGTAAATATAGCCTGTTATATTTGCCACATTTTTATCTGTAATAAATTTTTTTCACTAGTTTCTCTTTTTCCTTCACCTTGGTAAATAACTCGTTTAGGCAGTTTGATTTAGAGGATTATGCAAGAATTTCTATATGATATATAAGATATCTATGGATCCAATATGAATTTCTATGTAAATCTAAGGAATTCCTATTCCTATAGGAATTCCTATTAGATTTTGGCCCAATTTCCTATAGGATCCTACAGGAATTCCTATAGGAAATTGGGCCAAAATCTAATAGGAATTCCTATAGGAAATTGGGCCAAAATCTAATAGGAATTCCTATAGGATCCTATAGGAATTCCTATAGGATCTTATAGGAATTCCTATAGGATCCTATACGAATTCCTATAGGATCCTATAGGAATTCCTATAGGATCCTATAGGAATTCCTATAGGATCCTATAGGAATTCCTATAGGATCCTATAGGAATTCCTATAGGAAATTGGGCCAAAATCTAATAGGAATTCCTATAGGAATTCCTATAGGATTTCCTATAGGAATTCCTATAGGATTTTTTCGTAAGGGACGACACTTATGTTGCATGTCTGAATATTATACAGAATTTAATGGTTGGTTAATATTACATTAAAATTTTGACAAACTCGAACCGATTTCGCTGTGTGCAATTCTGCTATAGCTAATTTATCTGGTTGGTTTCGCTGTCTGAAATTCAGCTAGTAGCCTACCTAAAATGTCTAAAATGTATCTCAAAATATATTTTGACAAGCTCAAACCGACTTCAGTGTCTGAAATTCAGCTACACTGTACCTATCTCTAGGTGGTATTATATATGATTGTTTTGGCAAACTCAAACCGTTTTCGGTGTCTGAAATTCAGACACCGAATTTGTCTCAGTGAGTCTGTATGGTTGGTATTTATATATGATTTTGACAAACTCAAAATGTTTTCGGTGTCTGAAATTCAGACACCCAAATTTATCTCAGTCTGCATGGTTGGTATTTATATATGATTTTGACAAACTCAAAATGTTTTCGGTGTCTGAAATTCAGACACCCAAATTTATCTCAGTCTGCATGGTTGGTATTTATATATGATTTGGACAAACTCAAACCGTTTTCGGTGTCTGAAATTCAGACACCCAAATTTATCTCAGTCTGCATGGTTGGTATTTATATATGATTTGGACAAACTCAAACCGTTTTCGGTGTCTGAAATTCAGACACCCAAATTTATCTCAGTCTGCATGGTTGGTATTTAATGATTTTGACAAACTCAAACCGTTTTCGGTGTCTGAAATTCAGACACCCAAATTTATCTCAGTCTGCATGGTTGGTATTTATATATGATTTTGACAAACTCAAACCGTTTTCGGTATCTGAAATTCAGACACCCAAATTTATCTCAGTCTGCATGGTTGGTATTTATATATGATTTTGACAAACTCAAACCGTTTTCGGTGTCTGAAATTCAGACACCGAATTTATCTCTTACTATACATTCACTATACAGTATTTTTTGAAGATTGTAAAAATCTATTTTATAAATAAGGGATTTTGAGGAAATCTTAAAGGTTGTCATAAAATTCTGTGATTTTTGAGGAGGGAAATTAACCTTTCCTCCAAATTTATAAATATTATTTGATTTTAAGGTGGTAATATATACAGTTTGCAAAAATGTACAAAACAACTACTAAAAGCAGCAGTAAATTTTCTATTCCGCAAAATTGAAATAAATTATTTTTACACATTTTTACCAAAAACGAATTTCTCTTGCAATATTAGAGGAAAATTATAGTGATTTAATGTATTTAGTTAAATTGTGCAGAAAAATTGGTAAAATTCTGCAAAATTAAGGATATTTTTTGTGAATTTGGTAGTTTGGAAATATTGAAAATAGTTTGGAACGCGTTTGTAGCTATATAATTCAATTCCAATCCTGTGCACAGTTAATGATATACGACACTGTTCAGTTTAACACGGCATATCGGTTTGAGTAGAAGGTATCACAAGTTTAGTTTTGTACATATATTGTGTGCCATTGATCTGATCCATCCATATAATATATGATTATTGTAGCTGTTAAGTTATTTTCCACACTAATGAATTTAGATAAGATTGCAATCGTCTTGCAAGTGGTTGTTATTCTGACAAAATTATCCATCCAATATCCAGTACATTTATTTATAATTCTTGTATTAATCTCTAAACAAAAACATTTATGTTAGAAAGCAAAATGACAATGAAATTATGAAAATGTTTTGAAAATTGAAAATGAATTGAAAATGTTTGTAAAAATTTTGTTTAATTATAAACTCTAATGTGTATTAAAACCAAAATATATAAATATTTTAACTAATATTAATAAGTAATACCATCTAGCCTTTGTTTTAGCACTACATTTGACGACAACTTAGTTGGACTGTTGTTTTGAAAAGAGTTACAGAAATGGCAATTGCTAGATAGTATACTTCAAAATAAGGTTTCCGTTTTTATTCTATCTTTAAAATAAGATAGGGTTAGGTTAGGGTTTAGGTTAGGGTTAGGTTGGGGTTAAGGTTAGGTTTTGTATTAGGGTTAGGGTTTAGTTTTGCGTTAGGATGGTTTTTTCAACGTTATAAAAAAGGAAACCTTATTTTGAAGTATACTATCTGGCAATCACCTTACAGAAATACAGAACCAGGATTTAATTCAGTATCTCCTGAGAACCTTAGTTTCCTGTAATATTGTTCATTGGCAAATATATTGCCTGCTATTTCCTTACGAAAAAATCCTATAGGATCCTATAGGAATTCCTATAGGAAATGCCATTTCCTATAGGAATTGCTATAGGATCCTATAGGAATAGAATTCCTATAGGAATTTCCTATAGGAATTTATATAGGATCCTATAGGAATTTCCTATAGGAATTTCCTATTGGACTTTCCTATTGGAATCTCTTATAGGAATTTCCAATAGGAATTTCCTATAGGAATTTTCCTATAGGAATTTCCTATAGGGATTTCCTAATGGAATTCATATAGGATGTTATATAGAATATAGAATCCTATTGCTGCTATTATATGTTTTCACTCTGTTTTTTATAGCAAAATACAAAACAAGTGTAACTGCAAAAATCGATATCGATCTACATCGATATATATTATTATCGATCTTTGGAGTTACATTTGTTTGGTATTTTGTTAATTAAAGGGTATGAGCAACCAAAAATTTTATTGCTTCATCTGAAAGAGCATAAAAAAATAAGCCGAATGACTGTGTAATGCTCTTTTCTATCTCATCTAGTTCCGAAGTTATACGCAAAAATGTGCAAAGTATATATTGCCGATTCAGCACTACGTGTGACGTCATTAGCTGGGTAAGTATATTTAATGAATACTAAACTGAAGCATAGCTCAGTTATTATGAGCCCAAATCAAATGAAATTTTGGATACTGATTGCACATGATGAGATGCATTGAAACACACTTCTAATTTTGTTGCCAAGGTAACAATGTCGTTCCCAGGCCCATTGCACCAATTTTATACGGCAGCTTTATTCATGATACTTATAAGAATAAAATAATACCATACCTATGCATGCCAAAAGTTTACTTGCATGATAATAATTCGAAAATTACATATACATAGATAAATGTAGCCTGCGAACAGGCTCTCAAGCTGAATTGAGAGCCTGCATCGATGACTAATGAATTTGAATATCTGCGTCTCAAATCGTGACGCAAAATTCTCATTGGTCAGATGCTATAATTTATATGTTTCCGCTGAGCTCTATATATGTCAAATGCTGAACACTATGCATAAAAACACATTAACTGATCAAATTGGTCTTGGCCGTCTTATATCAAAGCACGAAATGTTCTGTTTTGAGAAAACAGTATTTAAAACATTTGAACTTTCGCTTGAATATCTTATATTTCGAAAAACAGTATAAACTGTACGGTCTAAATTTAGTTTGCACGGCCTAAATTTAGTTTGCACGAAAGTTGTAAACAACACCATATAAGGATAGACATTCCATATTTGGAAAAACGAACGTTATGCGGCAGATATTCAAATTTATTTGTTACCGATGCAGGCTCTCAATTCAGCTTAAGAGCATGTTCGTAGGCTAAGATAAATGCGACTAGTTATTCAAAATCACTGCAAGGGGCCTTGGAACGATTGTTTTGCCTTGACAACAAAATTAGAAGTATATTCCCATGCGTCTCATCATGTACTATCTGTGTGCAAAATTTCATTTGATATGAGCCAATAATAACTGAACTATGCGTCAGTTTACTATTCAATAAACATACTTACCCAACTAATGACGCCACATATTAATTGTGCTGAATCAACAATTTATATTTTGCCCATTTTTGCGTATAACTTCGGAACCAGATGAGATAGAATAGTGCATTAAACGGTCAAACGGTGTTGTTTTAATGCTCTTTCAGATGAAGCAATAAAATGCAATAAATGTTTTGTTCCTCATACCCTTTAAAATACTCAATGGTTATGTTTTTAGTATCAATGTGTTTAGCTAGCTAGGATTTCTATAATTCCTGATGGTCCCTAATGCAAGCATTCTTATTGGAATTTTATCCCTATAAGAATATATATAGATACTAGAAGTTACTATCGCAAGGAAAGTGCTGCCTCACCCCCAAGGGATCAAAGGCAGCATGCACAATTTGCTGAATAAGGAGCTGTTTATATGATCAATCTTTGCCAGGACAACCTACGAGGCGGATGAATTCGATGTATTGAAAGAAGTCATGGTGCATGATTCAACAAAAACTTCGTTATTTTCTGGAGATAGTTTGTAGTTAAGGTAACTCCCCAGTAATTGTTCCCGAAATGAGAATGTGCTGAAACTTCACAGGCATGGAGTTTATGATATACTTAAAGTAAAAACACAAAAAAGTCGGAGTCACCGAACTCGTTAAGAAGATATGACAATCACAATATACCATCTTTATCCCAATATGGCGCCATCTGGACGTTCATTAAGAGTAACAGCAAACTCACAACAGCCCGATATTTATTGACGTTTTAAGCGCGGATTTATCTTTAGTAAACCTACTTTGTAATTATTTTTGAAAAAATATTGTGTTTTGAGCAAAATGAAACTACTAACGTGTACAATTCTGATCCACAAATGTCTTTTCCACATTTCTTTATATATCTTTCTTTGAGAACATGCATTGATAAAGGATTTTTTTTCAAGATCCAGAAACGATTTTTCTTTTATTTTCGGATGTGAAATGTAAAATACGTGAAAGAAATAAATTATCAGTTAAAAAACGGGGGTCACCGATCTATTGAGGGAATTGTGGCATTAAAACGTGAAATACATTAAATAAATATGCTACAGACACAGGGAACCCTAGCTACACTTTTGTATGCCTTTTTTGAAAACATTGATTTTAACATAATTCTTTGCACGAATGTAACCAAAGATGTTTTGAAGTAACATAAAATTGTCATAAAATGATATTTTTTAAACTGTACGTATAACGGATGAAATTATAAGTTATATGACGTGCGCAGTAAAAGTGCGCAATGCAAAACTGCGGAATTACCTTAACTGAAAACGAAAGTATATTTTGAGTTCAATATATAGACCACAGTAAGACTTTTTAATCGTTGCTACCTGAAGATGGAGTAAATCTTTGAAACGTTGTTTGTTAATGTAACAAACACATTAAAAAAAGTCTTTACTGTGGTCTATATATTGAACACGAAATATACTATTAACATGAGGCTTAGGGAAAGTTCATTCCTAAACATTTTGTAAATGAAAGGCTTTTTCAAGCACCAATAATAATCTTCTTGAACACAAGATCTTCTCTACAACATTTGAGTTCGGTTAACCACCATTTAAACTTTTGTTTAGCCCAGTGACATATTTCAATACAACAAAATCACCCCACCTCCATTATGTAAACAGCCCCATAAGGCGCCTGTTCAGGGGGTAAGAATTCTAATTTTTTGGCATGGGTGGTTTTGCATGCTTATAACTTCTGCTTTTGTATATATGCTTACAATGCTTATAACTTCTTGCTTTTGTATATATAATTTTTAATGCTGTCAGTGATTGAGATGGCCATAGCAACAGGTCACGCTAGGCAAGTTTTAAATGATTTGTTTCATTCAAATAGATGCAACATTATCGGCATAGGCATAGCATGGCCAGTTGCAATGACTAGCTCGCCACTAACAGTGATCAGGCTCTATTTTACAAATATAGCCTGACACAAGGATTAATGCGATAGCTTTTCACCCACAGCAAAGTTTATATTTAGTATCCAATCAAAATGTCGCGCGTGTTTTGACTGTTTAAAATATTAATATACAACTTGACAATGATTGTTTTACTGTATTAACGTATATAATAAAATATGAAAATATGTGGTATTTGACTACTTACCAGATGAAGATAAGTTTCCATGTTGATAGATGACTTCGGAATATAAATATCGCAAGTAGAATGGTGAAAACAAGACAAAATCAAGATATTTGTGCAGCCAAAATGTGAAAATGGCAAAGAATAACACGAATTGCACGAAGCCAAACGATGCCCGTTCGCATGTTAGATGCGGGCACGATGTAAACAAATGATGTAAACTAATCGCTGATTGGCTTAAATTGGCTCAATGATATATTAAGCTCATCGCTGAATATACGCTACGGTCACGTTTGCGATAGCATATATATCTGCTTCTCAGATACAAAAATTTACATATGTAAATTTACATGTTTAAAATTAAGCAATTTTTTGCGCATAAAAACAAACTAATATGGATAGCTAATGTAAACTATCATAGAATTGCAAATTTTCAAATTTCACAAATAGTAGCAGGAAAACTAAGAACATAATCTTCTATCAAATATGGTCAAAACGCCAACAAAAGCAAATTTAAATCAGGGAAAACAAAGGTAAATCGCCTATCGTATTTCCAGTTTTAAATGCACAAAATTGCACCAAAACTCTTCCAAATCACTCGTAAAACCTGCAATATCTTTAAACTTACTTAATCTTCATTTCTTTAACAATTTAGATTTTTTAACGTATAAAATATATAAATTACAAAACCTCATCTTGTTTGCTTATTGTTGCTACGCTACAGCACTCAGGGAGGTACCGGAGGTGTGTCTTTTGCAAACAAAAACGTTTCCGGTTTACAAAAAATTCAAAAATATTTAAGATTTCAAAATGAATATAATAGACTGGAAATTGAACTTCGTGTCGTGCAATATTGGACTGAAATCAAACTTGTTATTACAAATCGCACTCCCGGTTCGCGGTCGTGCGATATTGTAATCACGCGTTTGATTTCAGTCCAAACTGCACTCCACTCAGTTCAAAGAACAAAGGAATAGTTCCTGAAAATTGGAAATTGGCACTTGTAGATCCCCGTCTTAAGAAACTTGGTATGGATTTAGTGTTTGAAAATTTTAGACCTGTTAATAATCTTCATTTTCTTGCAAAGGTAGCTGAGAAAGTTGTCATGCCGCAATTAGTTAATCACTATAACGAAAATGCACCACTGCCTGTCAGTAAATCAGCATATCGTCAATTCCATTCAACTGAAAGTGCGCTGCTTAAGTGGTCATCTCCTCTTGAAACTTTTTTTTTCATTTTTAAGTAGATTTATACAAAAATATGATTTTTTGAAAGGGACAGGTGACAGAAAATGACCAATGCAAATTTTTTTTCACAAAGTCGTTAATTACACTAATTATCCAATATGGCGGCTGTTAATTAACCTGTAATTGCTTAGCATCGTAAACATTATATCTCAAGAACCAATCATCAGAATAAAATAAATAATATATTTTTGAAAAGCTTAGAACCTGATCTTTTATGTGGAACTCTTCAATTTTCTTGAAATATCTTTAAAAAAAAATTAGAGCCATATTTTGGAATTTTTCCATTATTGCAACTTAATCCGGCAATTATGAAGGAAATTCGCCTATAATTCATTAACGATGATTAGTATTGAAAATTGAAGAGCTTCACATAATAGATGATGTTACTGTTAGTACGTATGCCAAATATCAACTCCCTGCAGTAAATAGTTACAATGTTACAGTGTCACAAAGATCACTTATACATGACAAATTGTGAAAATGAGAAAATCCAATCTAAAGTTTTCGTTCATGCTTTTCTCACAACATAAAGGTTTAGAAGCTACCTGCTTCATATGTTACCCCTTCCTTGTCCTCAGCATTATCCAGAAACTTTTTCCTGAAGTGTCTCAGTGATTTCTTTCTTGACTTGACTTTCTCTGAGCTCTTTCTGGCCGACAGCAAGAGCTACAGTTTCCTGCTCTACATATGTAGTCTTTGGACATCTGTCCCAGATGATCCCGTTCAAACATTCATTCGGATTCTGGGTCAAGCCATGGGTGGATTTCTTTAACAAAGCTGGGTCAGCCAAATCATCAAATATAGGCTCAACCAACTCAACAATGGGCTTTGGAATACCATTTTTATGTTTGTATGTTTTGGAATCTCTTTGATAGCCACACCAACTGTCCTCACCTTTCGGGCAAAGATGATGCTGCGGGTTTTCTTCTGTTGAAGCAACGTGGAAAAGAGACGCCTTTACAGCCTTAGCCATTTGTTCAACATTATCAAGGTTTTCTCTTATTGCCAAGCCATAATAATTTCGGAGAACATCCATCTTTCCCGTAGTTAGGCGACTTTTGAGAGTTTTCTGCCTTTATTCGATCGCTTTAGCCTCCGCAGTCTGCTTCCGACTCGCTTCTGGACATTCCCAATACATTCTAGTTTGCTGGGTATACAGTCCTCTCCATAGGGTTTACTTTCTAGAAAAGCACTATAAGTGGACGAATCACCATCTCCAAGCATATCTTTGTATTTCAGCGCATGATCTTTCAAAGATCGTTAAGGCACCAGCTGTCTCCATGCTGCCAGAACTCCCCGTATGGTTGATCTTGCATTGGTGATTGGTTTTCCATTCTTCATACTTTGGATCATTCTGTTTTTTGCTCCACTCAAGACACTGCTGGCACTTGTCGGACAGGACTTCAACATCAAGGCACTTCTTTGTGTCGAGGGAAATTGCCGTAACAACACCATTATGAGATGAATAACCACGCTTCTGCCATGTGCCATCTATGGATATTCCACATTCTCCAGCATCAAAATCAACAAATTCCTTGACATGCATAGCATTGTTGACCATGCTATCATTGGCACACTGCTTCACTACAGGTAAAAGCTTTTTATTTTGGATCTTTGTGAAGTTGGCACGTCGTGGTGGAGCAGGCATGTTGAGAACTTTGCTGAATGTTGTCATGGCACTGTGCCCTTTACCGATTTCTCTAAAGGCCAAGACTGCCCGGACATTGATTTCATAGGACTGTCCTTGCTTCTTTGAGGTAATAAAACAATACTTCCAGTCGCATGCCACACACTGCAAAGAAATATAATGAGAATACCCATGTTTTTTCCTCATGTCAACATGTGACTTCATTTCATCTCCACAGTCAGGACATTTCAGAATTTTATCAAAGACACCAAATAAGATTGATA